CTCTTCGCCCCCAAGGCTTGCACAGATGCCCAGGAAGCCGGGGTGCAGGTAGAGGTTCTGGAAACCTCTGGGAACCCACAAAAGGACTGTGCCCGCGGCATCTGCTCGACTCCTTCCCGTCTGCCCTTCCCATCTCTGCCGAGGTTGTAGGGCTGAACAAGGCCGCTCAAACCTTGAAACAGCCCCTGCTTGTGGCCAGCTTGATTGTAATAAGGATTCATTACTAGAATCACGGACTCTTTCACCCATTAAATTAACAGGGGTTAAAAGAGAGAGAGCGAGAGAGCGGCAGAGGATGCCGGCTGGAGAGGGGCTTGCGCGGGCCGGCGGGAGGGCGGTCACTGGCCTCCGGGGAGGGCAGTCTGGCCTGCTAGCCGCGGCTCTAACGTGACCAGTCCTCTTCGACGCCACAGTTCCGGCCTAGGGGATGCGCACGATTATTTATGGACAAGGATATTCATTAGAGTTATTTATAATCATGAAAAGAATTGGAAACGAGTTCGATGTCCAAAATTTCCGATAGCGAGGGACTGGCTGAGAAAATTATGATCAAGTGCCACAACACAGCCATTAAAAATCGCCTTGTAGAAGGATATTTAATGACGTGAGAAATCGTTCAAACTACGTCCACAAGGCTGAAAAAACAAAAACAGAAACCGGTCTGTTCGGTGTGATTCTGACTCTATAAAACAAAACAAAGCAAAAAAAAAAAAAAAAAAGATCAAAACAAAAACCAAGCTTGGGTGGAAATACACCAAAACCTCCACAGTGATTATTCACGGAAGGTGGGATTACACGTGGTGGAAATAGCCTTCCTCCTGTTTGTCTCTCGGTTCTGATTTTTCTACAATAAACACGTATTCAGAGTATTCTCAGAAACAATCAGGGACTCTGCAGAAGTGGGAGGTTCGGGGAGGTGGAAGTACTTGTAAGTTCATCAGCTGGGATGGGGCTGGGGAACCATGTCTACTGTTTGGGGGGAAGTCCCTCTTCTTGCACCTGAGGAGGAAGCGGCTCTCAGCTTTTGAAAAGACTGTGAGCTACAACTTGCCTGGCATCACCACAATCACCTACCCGCAGTGCATCCGAGCTATTATTCGGTCACCACACTTTCTCAAGGCTGGCACTGGAGCCAGGCCTTGAAGCCAGGAGCAGCTGGGGAGAGCGGGAGACCTGTCCTAGGTCCTGGACCAGAGACCCCCCGCTGTCAGGATTCACCAGGTCCTTTCTGTGAACAAAGGCTGGTGCTGCTCCTGGGGTTCCTTTGGCTCCTTCCATCCTGTATGGCCTGAACTAAGACTTTCGGTCCACCGCCTGCCTGCTCTTCTTCCCTGGCACCTCCGCATCGGGGTTCATCTCTCTTTATGAACTCAGAGGAAGGGAAACGTCCTTGCTGTGCTGGCGAGGGGGCTTTTTGTGACCTCCCGACCCAAGTGGCTGGCCCCCCAAGTAAGGCAGTGGGGAAGCAGAAGGCATTGGGTCTGCCGGGGTGGGGGGTGCCTCAGTTTCCTCATCTGGGCGATGGGTACTCACCCTCGTAATCACCTCATAGACTTGTTACGGGGCCTAATAGCATAATGCAAGGGCTTAGCGTGGTTTCTGGCACATGCTAATCCACCAGTAAAATAACAGCTTTGATGTAGGGATGGTTTTTGCTTTCCAACGCTGCTGAGAACCGGACACCAACCCATAGACCCCGAGGCTGAATCGTGACGACTTCCAAGGCTTTCTGGATCACATACACGGACACAGGCTTAGACGCATTTGTCCAACAATCCAAAGGCCTCTTGCTGTCAGCCACTGTTTCTGCTCCTCGGCTTCTGAGATAGAGGCACAGGCCCTGCCCTCAGGAAGCACGCGGTTGAGTGGGCTGAGGGTGTCCTCCCTAGACACATAGAAGAGGCTCTTGACGCACTGTGCTGGCCTGGATGGAGGGGGAGTTCCCATTGGAGCAGAAGCTGCCAGGCAGGAAATATAGGATACAAAAATCACCCCAGGGCCTGCCTGGTTGGGTGGGGGGGTGCGGGGGGGACGGGGGTGGTTTACTTCTCAGCACTATGAAGCTATCAGCAGAGCACTCAACCAGGGAGTGACCCCCAAGGGCGCAGCAGACCTCTCCTGTCTCCCTGCTGCTCCCCTCAGCAGTGTACTTCTTCCATCTGCCTGTTCTGCTCCCCTCTCTGACCATGGTGAATCCTCTCACCCCCTGCACCTCTGGCTTGCACCCCAGCTCCTGTGTGCATAAATAAATAAATCTTTAAAAAATCATTCTAGATACTCAGATGGGGCGAAGTGATAGAGAAAGGCCGGCTACTTCAGGGAGAAAGCCTCCGCGCAGCCAGATGAAGCCGGGGAGGCAGCCCAAGAAGGCTTTGGGGGCCAGAGTGTATAGAGCAAAGGCCCAGGGTAGGGGCGTTTGGTGTTTTCAGGACCAGAAAGTTGGTATGACCTAGGCGGAGGGGCCGGGAGATGAGGTGTTGGTGGGGAAACAGTATTTTATTTTACGAAAGTGCAAGAAATATTAAAATGGAGACAATGAGAGGAAGAGCTTCTGATTGCAGTCCCCACGAGGGGTGGGGACAAGGCCCTGGCCGTGCAGGCCTCTCGACCAGGCCTGGCTTTGTTTGAATTTTTCTTTGGGGGCCTGGGGGTGGTGGTTAGACAGGAAAGAAGAACTTTCTTTTTTCCCCCATCCCAAAGTCTTCTTCCTGGCCTTGTTTCCAGCTGCCCCCACCCCAAATGAGTTTCCTCGAGAGCTATAAAGATGCCTTGGGGGATGGGAGAATTGTGACATCTCCAAGAAAAAAAATGGAGGGAGAATGAATGTTTTAATTAAAGTTTGGTGAAATGTGTCTGCTGAGGTGGGGCAGGAGAAGGGGGTCTTGTACTGGGAAAGGCGGGGGAATGGGAGAGGCCAGGAAATTCCTCGGGGAGCCCCTGGAAGGCAAGGCCTTGTCTTTCATGGCTCTCCCTCAGGCTGGTCAGGATCTGTTCTTCTGGGGGCTGGAAAATGCCTGCTGAGTGAATGGAGAATCAGTGTTGGAGGAAAAATAAGGACAGAGGAGGAGAAGGAAGGGAGAGAGGACAGGAAGAGATGAGAAGTGGAGGGAGCACTGACTGTCCCAAGCAGCGATGACAATTACTGGCATTGATCGATCTCTGTCTTGGCCCAGACACTGTTTCTGCATTAGCTCATTTTAGCCTCTCAACAAGCCCGGCAGTAGATACTATTATTATCCCCATTTTATTGTTGGGGTGACTGAGGCCCAGAGAGGTCAAGTGCCTGACTCAAAGTCACCCAGCGGATGAGTGGCTGGCCCCTGGCCCCGAAGCTCCAGCCCCTAGCCCCTTCTTGATAGTGTCCCAGGGGTGGGACTGGCCCTGAATCAAAAGTTAGGCCTGTCTGGACACTGCTATGACCAGTGCCCTCCTGTGCCTCAGTTTGTCCTTCTGCAGAATGGCAGGACTGGGCTCGAGATTTGGGGGGCCGAGTCACCAGGCCCAGGGGCTTCCAGGTGGTACAAACCGAGGTTGCTCTGGATGGTAGTGAGCAGTGGGTCAGTGGGGACTGTTCATTTATGTGTTGCTGCTTCTGCTAATTATGGGGACGATGGGAGCCTATGAAAGGAATTCAACAGATACTGTCAAATCTGACCTTCCTCTGTGGATGAATCTGAAACAACCCAAGACTGGTTCCAGGTGGTCAGGAGAAAAGCTCTAATGTCGAGTTACTTTCTTCCCAGTGAACCAAAAAACAAACAGATCACTAAGCATATCTGTTTGGATGCACTCAGCCAAATGCATCCATATCTGCTTGGAAGCATCGAGCTGATCCCCCAAATCTGGAGGTGTTGTTAGAGGGCCAGGGGCTCACAGAGTCCCCAGTCTCTATCTACCTGGCAACTAACTTCCGGGTTAAGCAGGAAGGCGCGTGGCAGGTGTCTGTCTCGGATAATTAACTCACAGGCTACAGGTCACTTCTGACCGGAGAGGCTTTGGGGAGACCTGGCAGGGGGCGGAGGTCCCCGAGGCTGCAGCAGGCCGCTGGCCTGTGGCGTCTCTCTAGGTTAATGCACTCAGTTGAACACGCCTCGAAGATGTGGGTCATACTTAGAATTTTTATTCATTTATTCGACAAATCATTTAGCTATTTACTATTGTGGTCAGTTTCTCACTTATCTCACCATCTGAGTGCTTTTCCATTCTTCCAGGCCTGATGCCGGTTCAGAGGCGACTGGGTAGGACTGGGTGGGCTGGCCGAAGGCAGGGCCCCGGCTCTGGGCACGGGAGGGACTGGGGCGGTCACCTCAAACCAATGGCAGGTGGGCAGGCTGGGTGCAGGAGAAAAGGGGGGTCTCCGATGGAGTATGACCCCCACCCAGGTGCCCCTCAACCCCTTAAGTGGGGGGAAATGAGCTTTCCCAAGACACTCTCCATCCTTTTCCTTGATTTTTTTCTCCATGGATTCTTGCACTACCTAAAAAACATTATTCGCTGGTTTTAAGGCGCATCAACAGCACCCCTCCCCCACCCATGTAAGTTTCTTGCTTTGCGGTTTGTCTTGCTCACTTCGGGATTGTTTTTTGCACGACGGACCGAATGAAAAATTCTCCTGCAAGGTGTAAGTGTGGAGGGGATACCCAGCCGCGAGGACACCGCGTTCCTTTGGAGTCGAAGACGCTAACATTCGAACTTGCAGAAAAGAGTTCGTTCTTCCGCGAAAAATGGGAAGCGAACTGGCTCCCCGGGTTCAGAGCAGGTGAAAAGTAACCCACTGCCATCCCTTCTCTCTTCTCCCCGCGCCCCTGGTGGGAGGGGGTGCACGAAGCTCCTCCGGCCGCAAAAGCCAGCAGCGCGCGCAGAGGCTGCTCGGCAGGCCGCGTCCGGCCGCGCCAGCCGAGCTGCGCCGGGGCGGGTGGGTGGGAAGAAACCGGGAGGGGTAGGTCTGGGGGTGTGAGGGTGGAGCGGCGCCCGGCCCCGCGATCCGGCCCGGGTTTTGCATGCCACCCCCTCGCCCGCTCGGCCGCGGAGAATTCCATAATCACAGCGGGCGAGAGCGGAGACTGGGAGCGAAAAATCCGGGATCGGGCAACTTTGGGCAGCGCATGCGCGCCCGCGGCGCTCCATCCCAAACACACACACATTTTTCCCCCGGACTTGGAAAGTCACCCAAAGCCGCCCCAAGTGCAGGTAAGAGACTCGGCGCTCCCTCCGCCGCGGCCCCCCCACGCCCCTCAGCGCCGCGGGCCTCCCGAGACGCTTCCCCGCCTCGCCCCCTGTCCGGGTGCTGCCCTCCACCCCCGGGGCTGCCGCTTGCAGCAGGGAGCGGGCGAGCGAGCGAGCGAGAGAGCCAGCCAGCCTGCGCGCGGCGGCTGCCACCCAACTCCGGCCGTGCGGGAGGCAGGGGCACGGAGGACTGGCACCGGGCGCTGGGCGGCGCGTCGCCCGCCGCGGCCAGGGGAATGCCAGCGCGCGGCTCCGGGGGAAGGGAGGGCTGCTGCTCCTGGGGGTCACTTACTCCAACTGAGGGGCGGCGGGGTAGGGGAGAAGAGGGGGAGGTGCCAGGCGCGAGTGCAGGACTTTGCAAATAGGGTGGGGGCGCCCCCCGCGCCGCGGGCTCGGGGGGGGGGC